GTACCTGGGAGGATTGCGTGGAGTATCTTGATTTAAAATAATGACAAATATTTGAGATGAGCAGGGGGTTGTTCTGCAGTCCCCAGGGTGAGGGGGTTCCCTGAGGGGTGGATTAAAGCTGGGGGTACCTGGGAGGATTGTGTGGAGTATCTTGATATAAAATAATGACAAATATTTGAGATGAGCAGGGGGTTGTTCTGCAGTCCCCAGGGTGAGGGGGTTCCCTCAGGGGTGGATTGAAGCTGGGGGTACCTGGCGCTCCTCGTGCTTGCCGTGGATCTCAATCATGTCCCCGAGCACCTTCACCTTCAGCTCCTCAGGGGAGAAATGCTTCACATCCAGGTTCACATAGAATTTGTCCTTATCCAGTCGCATCTGCAAAAAGCAGGAGGTGACTTCAGAAAAGAGTGAAAGCAGGACGTGACTTCAGAAAAGAGCAAAAGCAAGGAAATTACTTCAGAAAAGAGCAGCTGAGGGTTTCAGCTTAAAAAACAATGCAGCAGGCCAAGACTCAGGCTGGTCTCCACACACACACAGACCTTTATTTTGGGACCTAATGTGAGTGGTTCTGTCCCTTGCTGGCCTTGTGCTAACGCCCATCCCTGCAGGACCTGAGATTCTCCACCTGAGTTGGTTAAAACTGACTCTGGATTTAAAGCTGAACTCTTTATTATGGCTGCTCCACTGGGCAGCCAGACCCAGGGCACTAAATCAAGAGGAGCATTATGCAAGGATTAAAATAATACTTTCACTCCTTCTGCTTGGAATAGCTCCTCAAGCTCCTTGTGAATAACAGAGTTGACTTGCAGGACAGGCAAAAGCCTCTTGGCTCAGCCCCTGGAGGGAGGAGGCGGCTGCTTCATGATCCTCTGGTCCTGGATTTTATTAAAACTCTGTTTTTCTGGGCAGTGGTTGTTTGAAATAGGCCCCTTTTCCCTCAGCAGTGCTTGGCATGAGGACCCCACTGCCCCTGTGCTCTTCACTTCTCAGGTGGGAGTGGGATTGAAAGTTTGGTGCAGCAGACTGGGAAATCAGATGAAATTAGAGAAATTAGGGAAATCAGAGAAATTAGGGAAATTAGAGACATTAGGGAAATTAGGGAAAATAGAGAAATTAGGGAAATTGGGCTTCCTCCTTTCCTCTGCCTGCTCCTAGGGTGACCTGCCATGCCCGCTGAGCTCTGTCCCCATCACTATGGCCACACTTGCTCCATCCCAAACAATGCAGACACAGCACCTTTCCCCCCAGCCTTTTTCCTAATAAACCCCACCTAGGAGCATCTTGCACGCTCCCAGCTCTCCTGGGCCCGCAGCAGAGCCCAAAAGGAGCCCCAAGAAGCAAAGATTACCTCGGAGAGTCCTGTCTCTAGCCAACTGGGCATCCGAAGGATGGGGGATCTCATCAGGAAGGGGCTGAAGCTGGGGGAAACGGGGAGCAGCTCCGACTCGGGCAGGTGCTCCCCGAAAATCTGGTCAAAGATGCGGCTGGGTGCCAACCAGGAGAAGAAAGGTCTGCGGATCAGGGGGTTGTGGATGGTGATATCCATTGGAGAGCGCTGGAGGAGCCTGGCAAACAACTGTGCTGCCGTGCTGGGAGCGGGGACAGCTTTATAGGCGTGCAGCTGGCCTGGCCTTCCACCCCCCCGAGGCCTCTTGAACAGTGGTGTCAGGGATTTTATTGTCCCACTCCTGGGCTGGGCCCTTCGGCGGTGCCCAGCCGCTGGCTGAGGGATTTGAGCGCGCTGCTGAGGAGGAGGAGGAGGAGGGGGCAGGGGACGGGAGGAAGAGGAGCCCAATGGGGCAGCAAGGAGCTGGAGTGGCCGTGCCCGCCCTGCTGCCCACGTGCTGTTTATCCACGGCGCTGGGCAGGCTTGGCCCCTGGTCCAGCTGCCCGGGATGCCAGCGGGATCAATGCAGCTCCTATCTTTGGATGGCAGGAGCAGCACAAGGGGCCCTTGTTTGTTCCCAGGAGCTCAGCATCCCCCAGCAGGGCTCAGCAGCAAAGGGAGCCCCAAAGCCAGGGCGAGGGAAGGTGCCAGGAGGGCTCTGCTGGGCTCCTGGCACTGCGGCTGCAGAGTGAGGCATTCCTGGAGTTAAATTTTGTAACAATGGTTTTTCAGGCCATAGATCTCGGAGAGAGGCCGAGTAGGAATTTGTGATAGGATTTGTTTTATTTTTAGGGTTATGTTTTGTTCTGGAGGGGTGGGCATCTAACCCATTCCTTTATTACAGGGTGTTGGGGTTGGTTGTAGCGGCTGTTGCAGGGTGTGGTGTGAATAAAGGATGGATCTCTCCACCAACCCCTCTGGTCTTCTGCTTGGACTTTTTCCCACTTTGTTCTGGAGGGAAGAGCCCCAGGCTGTGACCCCAGACAGAACCTGGGCATGGGCTGGGCCTCAGGGTGCTGCAGAACACCCCTGCCCCTGCACTCACCTGCCTTCCTGCAGCTCTCCCCCCAATAATTCACACATTTGCTTTAATTCCTGCCTCACCCATGAACCCAAATCTCAGGAATGGGCTCAGCCCAGCAACTGTTGAAGGGCAAGAGCTTCTCTGCCTGTGAGAGCTCGCAATTTAAACACAATTTCTGGCTCAGAGGCGCTGCCAGCTCTGCCAGCCCTTTGCCAAAGGCTTTGAGCCTCTTCCTCTCGGCTTGCCTGCAAGAATAGGAGCAGGATTTGCTCTGTGCAGCAGCCCAGGCCATAAATACCCTCTCCAAGTCCCCATTACATCAGCAGCCCTGCACCTGCTCTCCCACACTGCAGGGCTGAAGGAAATCTCTGCTTTCAGGCTGTGCAGAGCTCAGCACCAGCAGCCCACCAGCCCTGCCCAGCAAAGCTGGGCTTGGGCAGGTTCAGGGCCTGGCTTAGCTGCTGAGGGCCGGCACCAGCATTTCTCCGTGGATTGTGCCAAAGCCTGGCCAAGGGAAGGCTGGGCAGCCAGCAGGGCTCAGGATGGGGAGGGGACAGCAGTGGGACCCTGCTGCCCTCCTGCAGCCCTTCCCCGCTGAAGGAACGGGAGGTTTGAGCTCAGCTCCGGGGACAATCGGGCTCCTCATGCAGGGAACAGGAGGGGTTTGAGCCCCAAGCTCACAGTGGGCACTGGGTGTGGGCAGTGGCTTCATCACATGAGCTGAACAATCTCATCCAGCTTTTGGAAAGAATCGCTGCCTTTGGCCAACGTTTGCTTCCACACTTTGTGGTTCCCCTCTCCCTCAAAGCCTCATCCCTGAGGAGCCAGGAGGACCTCCAGAAGATGAAGAGCTCATTCCTCCTGCTCTGCAGCTGTGGCTGGTACTAGCAAAGCCCATCATTCTCCCAATGAGTGCTGTCCAACCATGTGGCTGCCAGAGATAAGCAGATTCCTTTTGGATCTGATGGAATTTTTTGGAGAGCAGCACCTTACAAACCACTCCGTGTGTCTCAGCCACCCTCAGGGCCACCAATTCCAGGTCAGGGACACCCTGAGCTGCCCCAACGAGCCCTTGCTTTGGAGCAGCAGCACCTGGGGTCTGTCCTGCCCCTGAATCTGGGCTGCCCACCCACCCCCTGCTGCAGGAGGGACCCTCAGAGGGTCCCCAAGGTGTCCCCTGCCCTCCCTGCTGGAATGCAGCGAGAAGCTGCCCTGGCCCGGCGTCCTGGGGCCTGTGTGGGGCTATTTTGGTCCATCTTTTTTATCACTCACTCACTCCCTCCCTCCTCCCTTTGGAATCCACCCAGCTGGAGCCTTGCAGCCTGCAGCCCTCGCTCGGAGAGGCAGCGAGGGCTGGGGAGGCAGGAAGGAAAAAAGGAAAGAAGGAAGGAAAGGAGGAAGGAAAGAAGGAAGGAAAGAAGGAAGGAAAGGAGGAAGGAAAAAGGAAGGAAAAGGAAGGAAAAAGGAAGGAAAAAGGAAGGAAAAAGGAAGGTATCTGTCCTGGACACACCATGGCCGCCCGCACCGTGCCCCACGCCTACCCCATGAGCTCTGAGTATGAATTTGCCAACCCCAGCAAGATCTACGACCAGAACTTTGGAGAAGGTAAGGAAGGGAGTGGGATCCCCCCTTCCCTCTTTGCACCCTTCTCCCCTCTGCTGCTGCAGGGCTGGGGGGTTCCCTCTGGGGAGCTTTGGCTCCAGAGGGGGAAAGCTGGAGCTGAGGGATTTTGAGAGGAGGAATCTGGATCAGATCAAGGGGGAACAGCCAGGGAAAAAAACAGGGAATAGCCAGGGAAAAACAGGGAATAGCCAGGGAAAAACAGGGAATAGCCAGGCAAAAAACAGGGGAAAATCAGAGGGAATAACCAGGGAATATCCAGGGAATAACCAAGGAATAGCCAGGGAAAAACCTGGAAATAGCCAGGGAATAGCCAGGGAAAAAAACAAGGAATAGCCAGGGAAAAAGCAGGGAATAACTAGGGAATATCCAGGGAATGACCAGGGGATAGCCAGGGAATAACCAGGGGAAAACAGGGAATGGACAAGGAAAAACCAGGGAATAGCCAGGGAAAAAACGGGGGAAAACGAGGAAAAAAAAATAGGGAATAACCAGAGAATATCCAGGGGAAAATAGCCAGGGAATAGGCAGGGAATGACCAGGGAATAGCCAGGGTCTGTCTCTTCATGTCCACTTCCCCATCCATGCCCAGTGCTGCCCGTCCCTCCCTCCCTGATGCCAGCCATGCTCTGGCATTCGTGCACATGCTGTGAAAACATGGAGCTAAAGCGCCCAGGGGAGGGGGGGGAAAGCTTTTCCAGCCAGGGGGATGTGGAGAAAAGCTGAGCTGGGGCGTTCAGCACAAAGCTGGGCAGTGCTGGCCAGGGGGAAGGAATGTGGGCAGCAGCAGAACCATTCAGCACCGGCACAACAGCGTGAAAAGGCAAAAAGCTCCAAGGAAAGCCCTGTGGACAATGGCGCACAAAAGGCCTTTAGTCCTTCACCATCAGCACTTTCCATGCCCATCCCTGGCCGTGGGCTCTGCTCTGCTGAGCTCCCAGAGCACCCAGCAGGCCCTCCCAGCGCACCCAACATGAGAAGCTGGATGCCAGCCCCAGCCTGGGCAGCGCGTGGCACGCAGCAGCTGGCAGGGACGCGGCTCTGGGTGGGTTTTAGGGGCACAAAGGTGGGAACTGCAGCAGACTCCACCCCTGCTTGGGGATGGGACGAAGCCAAGGTGTCCCCCAGGTCCCGCTGTGCTCCAGCCCCACACTCCTCGCGGGCTCTCCTCTGCAGGTGTTTCCCCATCGGAGATTTTGGCCCCTGCCCTGTACCACGGCTACTACATCCGGCCCCGCATCAACAAGCAGCTGGAGAGGGGCACCTCGGAGGTGTGCCTGAACCAGCACAAGTTCCAGGTGTTCCTGGACGTCTGCCAGTTCCTGCCCGACGAGCTGAGCGTCCGCACCGTGGACAACCTGCTGGAGGTGGCGGGGCAGCACCCGCAGAGGGCCGACCGCCACGGCTTCGTCGCCAGGGAGTTCACCAGGACCTACATCCTGCCCCTGGACGTGGACCCGCTGCTGGTCAGGGCCAGCCTGTCCCACGATGGCATCCTGAGCATCGTGGCTCCCCGCACGGGCAGGGAGGTGAAGGCCAGGGTCAACGAGGTGGAGATAACCCGGCAGGAGCAGCCCCTGGGGAAGGAGGAACGGGCTGAGGAAGGGAAGGAGAAGGACAAGTCCTAAAGGCTGCAGATCTGGGAAGGTGGGGGGGATAGGGATGGGGAATGTGCAGTGCCAGAGCCCTGTTTGTCACCATTGGTGTTTGGCAGCCACACTGATGGCTGGGAACAAAAGGGACTCGGAACTGGAAAAAGAGTGGGGCTGAGGTGTGAGTGTGAGTGTGAGTGTGAGTGTAATGTAAGTTGTTTTCTAGGTCAGGTGAGTGTGCAGAGAGCTCTGCTCTCACCCCAGGGTCACTCCTGCCCTTAGCTGTGAGGCTGTGACTCAATGGACTGAGCTCCAGCCCAGAAGGGCACTGGGGAGGGAGAAAAGGGGATCCCAGTGCCTGGATTCTGAGGTTCCTGCCTGTGCACGGTGGGTGTTGCTCTGTCAAAGTGCCTGCAGCAACCAGGAGGAGAGAGGAATAAATCTGCCTCTGCTCTTCTCTTGTTTGCCTTGGATTGGTGTTGCTGCTGTGCAGCAGGACGGGTGGGCAGTGGCACCCACCTGTGGAAGTGGCACCAGTGGGGACATGGAGGGGCTGTGGCCACCCCTGTGCCTCACCCGAGCCCAGAGTGAGGTGACCTCCAGGACACAAAGGTGAGGAGGAGTGATGAGCCCTTGGAAGGTCCCTGAGCACCTTCGGAGCTGCAGCTGGAATGAGCCCAATTAAAGGGGCACAAATTAATGCCCAGCACAGCCTGTGCCAGCTCAGCCCTTTGGTTATGGGGCATCCTTCACACCCAGCCCTTCTGGGGGGGCTGAACCCAAAATACCCAAGGGAGAGGCTCTGCTCAGCCCCCAGATTCCTGGCTGGGCAGGCAGGGAGGGGCTGCATGGGCCCCTTTGGCAGCCACTGAGCAATGTCCCCGTGATGGGGACAGGGATCGTGTGTGAGCTGCTGGCAGCTGCTGCCCCGGGGCTCAGCAGGTGGCACTTGCCACCCTGGTGTCATCAGGGCCAGCCAGGCACACAGAATGCTGTGTCAGAGCCTAAATTTGGGGGTGCCTGGCATGCCTGGCTGCTGCTCCCCCAACAGAGAGGAGGGGAGGCTCCAAAATCCTGGGGGATGTGAATTTCCCCTCTCCCTGTGGCTGTGCCCACCCCACTCTGGGGCAGCAATGCCAGGGTAGGAATACCAGGGGCAGCAATGCCAGGGGCAGCAATTCCAGGGCAGGAATTCCTGCGGCAGCAATGCCCAGAGCAGGAATGGTGAGGGTAGGAATGCCAGGGGCAGAATTGCCAGGGGCAGCAATTCCAGGGGCAGGAATACCAGGGGCAGAATTGCCAGGGGCAGCAATGCCCAGAGCATGAATGCCAGGGTGGGAATGCTCAGGGTAGGAATTCCTGGGGCAACAATGCCCAGGACAGGAATGCCCCCTCAGGCCCCCAGCACATCCCCTGGGACTGCAGCACGGATATCAGGCTGATTTTTGTCCCCTGCCAGGCCAAGAGCAGGGCACTGCCCAGCTATTTTCAGCTCCCTTCTGCTCCCCAGGGCACTGCCAGCCCTGGGATCAGTCAGATGAGGAGCAGCCCTGCCAGGCTCAGGGGGCACAGTGAGGGCACTGAGTGCAGAGCAGGTGCCAACAGTGCCCAACCTCCTGCCCTGAGCCCTGAGGTAAAACCAGATAAAGTGTCAAAATAAAAAATCACCTCAGGGCACTTGTGCCAGTGTCACAGCGGTGTCAC